ACCGCTATCTTGTAGAAGTTGTCCGTGTCTGTGAGAGTTCCTCCCCTTCATGGGAAGAAGAATAAACTTGATTTACTGTCAAATGCATCTGTTTCTTTTGTGTTGTTCCCAGGTGTGTTGGTGTTTGTGGCCATGTGGAATACCCCTGCCGCTTCCAGAATGCTTCTGCCGCTACCCAGGAGATCATTCCTCACCGGGTCTTTGCCCCGGTGTGCCTCAAACATACCTGCCAAGAGACCCTTCTGCGGCTGATCCCTCCTTGTCTCTCAGCAGCGCACTCTGTCCTGGGAACACACCCGTTCTCCAGGCTGGATGTACTTATCGTCCCTGCCAACTTTCCAAGTCTGGGGATGGCCAGGTACGTTGTTCCACTGTGGCACTTGGAGAGCATATGCTTCAGAAATCCTTTAACTATTTCTTGCTTTCCCTGAGCTCTGTCAGAGCTGTCATTTGATTAGGATGGAGAGGGCATGTTTGCTCATGCTTGGACATCTCATTGTTGCCTTGAGGAATGGTTTGTGCATAGACTCCACCATGCATGAGCTTTTGGTTATTTTAGGCTCACTTCAGCTGCCTTAAAAATAAAATCACATTGTTGCTAGGATTGAGAACACGTTGTACTCCCAGAGTGATGTATGTTGGATTGTGGCTGATCAGTGACTAGTTAGCTTAGGTGGTGAAAGCATAATGCTAATGAGCCCAAGGTCATAGCTCTGGACAGAGTGATACAACTACGTTCCATGGCCATAGGCTGCTCACCTAATCCTGACCAGCTGTCTCATCCATTCTCGCCATTGGTTACAAGGGCAATGACTTGAGAGCCCCTGTGTCAGAGAGACTGTGTATGAATCAGTGTAAATCTATCACCATGGCTAGAAAAACAGCTCAAAACAGATGGCTTACTGGGGGTGAGGTAGGGGGAGAGAGGTACTTGTCTTGCTACTAATTTTTAATACAGGAAATACATTATTCTTATTGTTGTCTCAGTTTATTTCCTATAGAAAAATCAGGACCTGCAAGTTGAACCTTTCCCTGTATATTATTTACACCTAAAATTCATTCATTAATACCATTGTTCATTTAGCAGTAGGTAGCTTGTTTCACTCAGCATTTTACTTGGTTATGTATCAGGATTTTACTTGGTTATATTTCTATTTGAAAATCTTAATCATTAACAGTGAATATGCTTGACTAAGGATGGGAAAAATAAG